TCACATATACCAGCTGCGAATGCACCTAGAAGAATTGATGTCCCTGTTGGACAAAATAAAGTGGTAGCGAATGATTCATCTAGTGCACGCCTGAAGTGTGGTAGACCACCAGGTTCAAAAGATTCAGCCCCTCGAAAGAGAGATGAGGGCACAACTGAATCCAAATGAAATCATTCATGAAAAGAAAGCGAATGATAAATCCACAATTCATGATTCTAAATTTTCTGAAAAAGAAAATGTCCTTGATGAGACACATATCCCCGAAGAGACAGAAGTACATGAAAGCAAATAAATTTCCATAAATTATGCATGTACTAATGAATTGTGGGATCGAAATGAAGTAATCATCAACGATATGTTCGTTTTCGCAGTAACCACTGAAATTGTATTAAGCGATGACATTGAACCTGACTCTGTTGATGAATGCAAACAGAGACATGATTGGCCTAAGTGGAAAGATACAATCTAGGCAGAATTAAATTCCTTGGAAAGGCGAAGTGTTTTTGGACCAGTAGTCCAAACCCCGCCTGGTGTGAACCCCGTAGGTTACAAATGGGTATTCACAAGGAAACGCAACGAGAAAAACGAGATTGCAAGATATAAAGTACGACTCGTTGCACAAGGCTTTTCACAAAGACCTGGAATTGATTATGAAGAGACATACTCTCTTGTAATGGGCACAATTACATTCCGTTACTTAATAAGTTTAGTGGTTTCAGAAAAACTTAACATGTGACTTATGGATGTCATCACCGCGTATCTATATGGAGAATTAAATACTGACGTATATATGAAAGTCCTAGAAGGACTTAAGTTGCCCGAAACAACTAACAAACCACGATGTATGTTCTCAATCAAATTAAGGCGATCACTATATGGGCTGAAACAATCTGGACGAATGTGGTATAATCCTCTCAATGAGTATTTGATCAAAAAAGGATATATCAACAATGTCATCTGCCCTTGTGTGTTCATTAAAAAATCAAATACTGGATTTGCTATAGTGGCAGTATATATCAATGATATGAACCTAGTTGAAACTCCTGAAGAGCTCAATAAAAATGTTGAATATCTGAAAAGTGAATTTGAAATGAAACACCTTAGGAAAACAAAATATTGTCTCGGCATGCAGATCAAGCATTGTGCTAATGGAATTTTGGTCCATCAATCATCTTACATTGAAAAAATACTGAAGCGATTTGGCATGGACAAGGCTTATCCACTTAACACCCCAATGGTCGTTCGTTCTTTAGACATTAAGAAAGATCCATTTCGTCCAAAAGAAGATGATGAACTGGTCATTGGTCCAAAAGTACCATATTTGAGTGCAATAGGTGCTTTATTATATTTAGCACAATGTACTAGACCAGATATAGCTTTTTTAGTAAACTTGTTAGCTAGGTATAGCTATGCTTTCACAATTCGTCATTGGAAGGGAGTCAAAGATGTTATACGATACCTTCGTGGGACAACAGACATGGGTCTCTTCTACTCAGACAAGTCCACAAATGACCAGATCCTTGTTGGATACGCAAATGCTGGTTTTCTCTCCGATCCGCATAAAGCCCGCTCACAAACTGGATATGCATTCATTAATGGAGATACAACAATTTCATGGCGCTCAACGAAGCAAACATTAGTTGCTACATTTTCCAATCACCCGAAAATAATTGATTTACATGAAGCAAGTCGTGAATGTTCTTGATTAAGGTCAATAATCCATCACATCCGGAATTCATGTGGTCTACCTTCAAAGACAGACACTCCAACTGTCATTCATGAAGATAATGCAGCCTGTGTTGCCCAGATGAAGGAATGATTCATCAAGGGTGATAAGACTAAACACATATCTCCAAGGTTTTTCAGTGCACATGAGCTTCAGAAGACTAAAGTTATTGAAGTCAGACAAATCCGTTCCAATGAAAATTTGGCAGACTTGTTCACCAAATCTCTACCAAAGTGCACATTTCAGAAGTTAGTGCAGGGAATAGGATTACATCGGCTTACAAATTTGAAGAATGCGAAATTAGGGGGAGATACAATTCAGGGGGAGCATCCATGATACATGCATGTTGTACTCTTTTTCCTTCGATTAGGATTTTTCCCATTGGGTTTTTTCTATCAAGGTTTTAACGAGGCAACATAAGCATGCTCAACACCATATCAACAATTCGGGTAAAGTTGTACTCTTTTTCCTTCACAATGGTTTTTTCCTACTGGGTTTTTCCAAGCAAAGTTTTAACGAGACAACTGATGTTGATATGTGAGCATCCAATGGGGAGTGTTGTAAACAGTGGGTATGTTTGCCCACATGTATACAGTAAATATTCATATGCTAAATAGTGAAATTTTTGTAAATTTTCAAAGTAGTTGCTCGATAAATAAAGCACTACGAGTGTTCAAAACACACGGATACAAAAAGCAATAAGAGAAGAAAGATAAGTTAGAATATTTTCTGCATTCTCGTATTTCTCTTACCTGCAATCATTCTGTTATAGTTAATAAACAAAAACAGTGTGATATATTACACCCTATTCGATCTCGCTCATAGCAAAGGTTATTTCTCTAACTTTTGTCCATTTATAACAACAGATAGATATATTCACCATAAAAACATAATAAAGATGTGCCAAATGATTCAATTTTGAAGAGTTAGAATGAAATTACATATTAGAGTCGCCGTTTAGGACTGCTTACGTAAGAAGCACTTTTGTTCATCATAAGAGTTTCTGCTAGAAGTGATTTTATTTAAAAGCACGTTGAAATTATTATTAAAAATTCAAATGCTTCCTGGAAAAGCAGTTGGGAGTGCTCCTCTGAAATTGTTTCTGTGACCTAGAAACATTTTTTAAGTTTTCTTGCTAAACATAGACAAAAGTGCTTATGGTTGGCAGAAACCACTTTTTAGCCCTTCCAAAAGCAGCCGCAAATACGCCCTGGTATAGATGATGTATGGAATCAACAGCTTGCAGGTCTCACCACAGAACTTTTGTTTTTATTTTTGTACCAAAAGTTATTTTATAGTTCAGATCAAATTCAAAGCAATGGAGGTTTCAAAAGCTTCGAATACAATATTTCATAATTTGTGATCTTTCTCTGAATCATGCATTGGTAGTTTATAGCTAGAAAGCAACTCAGAACATTCCTGTCTTCCTTGTGTCGAACATCAATTGAACTAATAATTAGCATAATCATAGAAATTAAGGATCCAAAAGACTATAACAGTAGTGCTAACAAGGTGAATAAGCATCATTAGTCCCACAATCCCTCAGAATTAGGTATAGCTAATAATTTACAAATATAAGTTTTCGACAAATAGGATCAGTGATTGGGTTGTTTTATCACTAACTGGTTGAGGAAGGGGTCTAAACTTTGGTTTGTAATTACTGCCTCTAGGTTTGGTAGAATTGAATTGAATTCAAGTCCCTCTAACTAACTATAGCAGGTATTTGTCTCGTTAAAGTACAAAACAGTTGCTGGTGAGACACAAATAGATAGGAGTTGTTCTGTTTCCGAGTTTGATCTTTAGCTAGAAGCCTAGTCCCTTCATCCATGACAAGTTCACCCACATTGTCGTTGCTATTAATTTAAGTGCAAAAGCTAAAGTTACAAAGGAACACAACAGATGGATTGTGACATTCTAACTGTTGGGTACCCTAAATGGTCACACAATCGCTTATGGATAGGCGACATCCCTACCTGCCCAGATAGGTCAACGGTCTTTTGCAAACTTGTAAATTCTAAGGTTGTCCACATCCTCCTGAAGAGGGGATGACACGGTCTTGACATTCAGTGGACCATTGTGAAACAAGGAAACTAGATGGGGCTGGGAAAGGTAAACGTAGAGTAACACAAAAGGAACATTTCAAGAACCAAAAGACTAAGCAGAACAAAGAAAGCAACGATGTTTGGGGAGTTGATGTTTTCCAAGTTTATACTTATTGAAAAAATGTAGAGGCAAAATATACTAATCATAACCCTTAAGGGGTTAAACAGACACAACAATCCTAACAACAATACGAAACTAAATAACAATCATATCATTTAATTTAGAAAACCAGATCACTCGCGTTCTAATCAGGGGACCAAATATCCGAAGGGAGACTATCTTAAAATTTTAATCACAAGTTGTAGATGATAATCATGTCAAACTTGTTACTAATTAAAAACATAATTAAGAACTCAACATATAAAAGATCAGCATGACCACCAAACTACATCAAGACTTGAATTATTTTCTTGTTACGATCTCTTTTAATTTCAAAATTATCATTCACATTGAAAGAAAAATATTGTACTACTAAAATTTTTAATGCTGATGCTCCCCTAGAAAAACGACTGAAAAATATTATTGCCCCGTTCCCACTTAAGCATTATGTGCCTACTAACGGGATGTCATCCTGTACCTCCACAACACACAAGAGACTACTAAGATGGCATCCCAGACCTCACCACACGATGAGCCTTAATACTTTTGGGTGACAACAAAAACAAAAGTTTCTAGAATTTGTGGGAAGAAATTTCAATAAACCAAACAAGGCCCAACAACCAAACTCTTGTCTGATCAGCTTAATTCAAGGCTAATTTCCGGAGCAGATTTGAGTCTTATATAACTACCCATGAATTCTCTTCAAAAGAACTATAATAAACATACCGACTCTTCCTTTTCCTCTTCCTAAATTATCTATTGAACAATAATTCAGACGTTAGATGTTGAGATGAACACTTGCAGCTCGGATAAATTGGCTAAATCCGTCTATAAAGAACAATCCAGATTTTCATATTTTATCTATGTCGTTCAAGAAACTTTTAGTTGATCCGTGTATAATATATGATGTGCTATTAAAGACATAAACTCACTAGAAAATTGAAAACCTAAATGTCTTTTAAATTGATATTGCATAATTATATCATGAGATGGAAACTAAAGCAAGAGAGGAAATCTCAACTTTTTATTTTGACTTTGGGAAAACTAACCTAAATTATCGTCAAATATGTGATTACCAATAATCTCCACATGAGCATGCCCCTTCTTTGAAGTGGTGAAATCGATTTGCATCTCGAACAATGATAACCCTTTGTGTTATAGCCGATACAAACTTGATAAACGAGTGGCAGTCACCACAAACCCTAAGATTTTTTGTAATTCTGATCGGAGTTCCATCAGCAGTGGCAAGGAGACCAAATGCAATTGCCAACTTCTCACTATGTGAAGACAACATACCCAACTTCACTTCCTCGTCAACATCATGTAACACAAAATTTGTATCAGGCACATAACCAGCCAGCTCCAACTTCTCATTCAAACTCTTGATCATCGCATAAATCTTTTCTGACCATGGATGAGACCTATCGCCCACGCTAAATTGGTAAATTTTGTTATCCACTTCAATCCAAGTCAAACCCGGAATTTTCTTCAGTTTCCTCTGGGTCATCAGATCTCTCATTTTTGACATTTCCTTCCACCTACCTTCTCGTGCATATATATTTGAAAGCAATACATAATGCCCTGCGTTTTCTGGCTGTAGTTCAAGAAGAGAATTCACTACCTTTTTTGCCAGGTCTACATTCCCATGGATTCTACATGCGCCAAGAAAAGCTCCCCATAACCCCTCATCTTTCTCAACTGCCGTGCTCTCGACTAATTTTAAGGCCTCATCAAGTTTCCCAGCACGGCCCAAGAGATCAACCATACAAGTATAATGTTTGACATCTGCTCTGACAGCATATTCATCCCACATCGAAGAGAAAAACCGAAGACCCTCTTCGATCAAGCCTGAATGACTACAAGCATATAATAGTGAAATAAAAGTTATTGCATTTGGTGACACTCCACTGCTTAACATCATTTCAAAAATATCAATAGCTTTTCGGCCGTGCCCATGATAACCATACGCTGCAATCATAGCACTCCATGTTATAACATTCTTTACGTGCATCCTATCAAAAATTTCCCTAGCAGAATCAACACATCCGCACTTAGCATACATATCAATCATCGCCGTTCCTAAGATCACATCCAACGAAAACGAAAACTTATTCCTACATATATAATCATCAACAAGCCTGGCTTTATGCATAGCCCCCAATTTTGCACAAGCATTAACAACAGTAGCCATAGCAACCTTATCCGGTAAAACACCTTCATCAACCATCCGATCAAACAAAACCAAAGCCTCATCAGCATTCCTGCACTCAGCACATGCACCAATCATCACTGTCCAACTCACAAGATCCCTGCTCTGCATATTATCAAACAGTTGGCGGGCATCATCGATAACCCTACATTTCGCATACATGTCCACGAGCGCAGCGCAAACAAAATTATCCGAAACCAACCCATGCTTCAACACAATGCCATGAACCAACCTGCCCATTTGCAGGTCCATCAAATCCCTACAAACCCTAATCACAAAGGGCAATGTATAGTTATCCGGCGAAACACCGCCTCGAATAAGCTCCCTAAATGTTGCAAAACCATTGGTATAATCACCAGCCTTCACAAACCCACCAACCATTACACTCCAAGAAACTGCATCTTTCTCCTCCATCCCACCAAACAGAGCATAAGCTTCACCCAGCACCCTCTGCTGGGTGTACATATAAAGCAGCTTGTTTGCAACGGTGAGATTTTGGAGCATTCCATTGGCAGTCACTTGGGCATGCACTTGTCGGATGTGAAAGATGTTTCTGGAGCTGAGCAGGACGTTGACATAGAATTTGGGGTCCAGAGTTCGGGGAAAATGAGGTTGGGCGGGGACAGCCGTGGTGTTTGTAACAGCAGCAGCTGTGGAGAACAATGGGAGTCTGAGGATGCCATGGTTGGGGTCAAGGAAGGTCTGGTTTTTCAGTTTGAGCATAACAAGGTTGTGGGAGTTGACAATGTTTCAAACAGTCTTGGAGTTTGTAGTTTCAGAATGAGACAGCACGTCACGGATTTTCTACGATGATCTGAAACATGGAAAATCCGGGTTTTTTAAGCATTAGATCTTTTATTTAAAATTAAAAAATCTAAATCTAAAGGTTAAAAAGCTTAAACTATCTTATACTCCGTAACATCATAGAATTTTTCATTGAATCATACACAAATATAATATGGAGATCTTGTTTCAAGTTTCTATGAGAATCGAACTTGAAACTTTAGATACCATCTTTTTTTTGTTTTAAAAGTAAAATGGAATTAGGGTATATTCCCTTTTCCTTTCTCGAAATCAGGTTATCATAAATTCATGAGGTTTGGGAGAATATAATTTAAGACTATATTTAAGCGTACTTAAGATTCTTTACTTACAAGTTACAAGTCGATTTTTTGACGCAAGTTCTACTCGAGCTCTTGTAACATTTGAACGTTGAAGAGCAAAGTACAATCCTATGAATTTTATTTCAACATTTGCCTTCACCAGTACAGAGACAATAAGAGAAGGGAGAGGAAGAGGAAGAGATTGGTGGCACCGGCAGCAACCGCGAAATCATGGCCGGCATGGAAGGAGATAACGAATCAACGTCAACGCAAAAAGAAAGATAAAACTTGCAAATGTGGTTGAACAAAACACCATTGATTGAAAAAAATTAAACAGATGTAGGTTTTTTCTGCCTCCAATATAAATTCCTACGTATATCGAGCTACACTGCTAAATCCAAAGACAGGATTTATTGGTACACCGACTGCACCAGGAGCAAACCATACACCCCCAACTTCCACTACACTCTGCTACATTATATTTCTCAGAAGCGAGAAAAAGTGTAAAATAATGATACAAATACAAATTCCATTTCATGCGGGTAATCGAGCAATGATCATCGCGCCACATTTAGTTCAGTTGTGTAAGCGGAGTGCGAGGTATAAGTGACGGTTTCAACTCCTTCACATCGAATGACTCGTAGGAATTGTTTTCCCGGAACTCCTCCACAAGAGCTTCCATTGGCATGGCTCGAAGTGACTCAATGGTGCCCTTGCTTGGAACTTCCGGCTCAGACTTTTCCGGCGTAGATCCACTAGGTTCATAGTCCTACACATTCATCAAAACATAAATCATGAACCGAATTGTAAATGAGCACATAAGTAAGAAGAATAAAATTCTCGATATCTTGTTACTTTTCCCTTTAATATAAATCAGTAGACAAGTAGGAGAATGTGCTCAAGCACAATTTATTTCCAGTTCTGAAGATAGTCATGACCGATAAGTAGATCATAATAGCAAGTGTGGAAAGAAAGCTCACCAAATAATGGTTCTGGAAGGTTTCCCGTGCCCTCTCCTCAATTGAAACAGCTTGGCCCGAGTGACTCTCCCGGAAAGTCTCAAGGGTGTTTGTATGAGCCTTGATAGTCTCTAAGATTTTAGATATGGATTCCTGCTCCTGCTCACGCACACCTGTAGGAGATTTCGGTAAAATATAACCAAAGCCAGTAGAAACAGAGATAAAAAAAACAATATACTGCTCGTATTCAGGTCTCTAATGTATTAAACTTTGCCTACATTTCATCATCGTTGCCCAACTTCATTTTTCAAATTCAAATGCATGAAACAATGAGTCAGTTGTAGGTTTTACACTCTAACAACCAGTTTCAAAACCTGGAAAGGTTTTGGAATGTGTACTGCTAGCTGGCAATTGCTGACCAGTTAGATCATGCGAACGCTTATTGCTTGAACAATACAATTATAAGAAAAATCGCAAAACATTTGAACAACTCATCACCGCTCAACAGATTCAGGATATGTTAAAGTAAGACAACAAAAACTTACTATCAACATGCTGAAGGAGATCATCAGTATTCTTTGCCACATCTTGCTCAACTGCAGCCCTCACTGAATTGATCTCGACATCATGTTGCTCATTACTGTCCGAAGCATTCCTGCAATAAGAAATATTTAAGGATTAAGGGTAATTGACATGAAATGGAACAAACAAAATCTATGATGTTATAAGAACGATAAACGTGTCCCCTTAATGTTTAAAAGTAGAGGCCCTTTTATCTGTTAAATTTAAGAAGCACAGTTCGTTCTCCGGTACATTTTCTTTTCAAGAAGACTAATGGGGTTGCCCATACAAAACTTAAGCAAAAGCAACAAATCCCTGATGAACAAGATGTGAAAAAGGTTTCCCTACCTGATAAGTGACAGCATAGCTGAAACATGTTTATTTCCCATATCATTCACAGACTCCTGTGTCTTTTTCCAGTGCTCCAAAGCTGTATCAGCAGTACTTACACTAACAAATAAAAGAACAGAACAAACATCAGCATTCAAGAAGAAAAAGATTATGGATCAAGAGTCGGCATGAAACATGACAAACTTACCTTTTTTGTAGAATAACCTCCATGCGGCAATGCTTAGCAGCAGAATAGTCAACACCATCCTTAGCATCATTTTCTGCTTGCATTGAAAATTCAAGCCATTTTCTTTTTGCGTCTGTGGTAATACCCTCCATGGAGGAAACATGACCGTCCATGAAATACTTGTCTGCAATAGCACTTTCTCTGAAACCAACAAGCTTGGCATCCACCTGTCAGTTCAACAGTGATTCATTTCAAAATGAGAATGAATAAAAATCTTAATCTGGAGAAAATTATAATAAACCAACAATGGAAACAAACCATCTCTTTCTGACGGCACATGTGAATGGAGACTAAACTAGAGATATCAGCAATAAGCTTCTCTGCATCAGATTTTGATTGCTCCTGTGTGACATACACTTGGGATGTCAGAAATTTTTCAGAAGAAAATATATCAATGCAGATATATCTGTGCAGTAATTGTCTATACCTCATAAGCCTTCTGAAATTCAGCAATGCTATTTAATTTAATATCATTGGTCTGCCCCACATGATCTTCAAGCCTCTTTGATTCTTCCAAAAGCTTGTGTAGGAATCCTTGAGAGTACTCAGAAATGTCTTTTATTTGCTTAATACTCAAATTGAATCTCTGTTATGCAGAAACCAAATAAGAAGATATTGAAAAAGCAGAGCAGGACCTGATGTGCTACAAACTTAATTTTTTCCCCATGCTATGCAAATAACTAATGTGCTACAAACTTAATTTTCGTAGATTAAATTATAAATGTAATAAGGTAGAAGTCAGAGCAGGACCTGTTTCAATTCCTTAGCAAAAGCTGTCATTTCACCCTGCTGTGTTGAGAGACCGCTCTGAAGATCCTCAAATATTGTAGCTGCTTCACCAGCCTCTGAAGTTAGAAACTGATTCCAAGAAAATACAAAAAAAAGTTGGTAAAAAGGGTTAGCGGCAACAAGAAACCATGGTACAAAACTGATATGTGCAACAGGGGAACTCCATCATTGCTACCTACTTCTTCAACAGACTGCACATTAGAAGAAGCCAAACATGAAATTTCCTCTAGACCAGCATTAGAGCTCGCCTTGTGCAAACGCACAACATTTTGCACTGCCTCAATATGAGAAAGATACAAAGTCCTTGAAGATGTCAATTTACTCTTCATGTCCATAATTGCCTAAAATCAAGAAGTCCAAAAGCAAGAAGACATCATTAAAAAACAATCCTAACATAAATGAACCTCATAAGAGAGAAAAGCAAGGGAAACTTTCAAATGATACCTTAACATGTGCACTCAAAAAAGAATGACAAAGATTCTCTACACACTGAAGGTGTTCATTCTGATGAGACATCGATGTTGCTACAATCTGGCAAAGAGAACCAACTTGTTTGGCAAGATCTTCCTGGTAATTATTCACTACCAACCTATTATCAGCACTCAGCTTGTCCTCTCTACCTGCACAGTATCACATCATAAACACAAAGACTTAGTAAATTTGTTTGACAATTAAAACAACTTAAATATATTTGCTTGTTGAGGGCTACAAACCAATTTTTAGAAACAAGGATGCATTATCGTGAAGTGCTTTCTCCAAGTCAGATTGCAAATTGCATGCTTGCTGAGCCAAAGCATTTTCTGCCATGCATTCAATAATATCAAAACAAACACAAATGCAGAAAACAATCAAGTTCAAGAAATTAAGGATTCAGACAGACCAGCTTTCTTCTGCTCAGAAATGATAAAATCCCTCTCCTTCAAAGCATACCGGCATTTCATCAATTCTTCCTCAGTGGTAGAAAGTAACTTAGTGGTATGGTTCAAAGTTTTCTGCAACATCATTTTACAATGAGTTTTCAGAATCTATAGCAAAAAAATCCTTACCCAAAATACCAGGAACATGAGTAGATGAAGATAGCTCACCTCAGTTGAATCAAGCTTGCTACTCAATTCATAACACTGTCGAACCTGGAGATCATATTTATTCTGCAACTCCTCAAATTGCTGTTTATAACATGCCACATGTAAAAATGAAGTTAGATATCGCCAAAAAACCAGAAATAAGTCAATGACTTATCTTTAAAAAAATGTCGTATGGACAAACCTTCTGATGGTTTTCTATTACAACCCCCATGTTCTCAATCTGATCAGCCATGGACTACACACAAGAAAAAAAGGGAATAAGTACAGCAAAACAAAATTAACAAGGCCTCAGAATCAGCTAATCAATGAAAGTACAATGTCTTTCAAAATATATGGAAAGAGTTGTTTATGCAAAGCCATAATAGCAACCCCCCACACCCACCACAAACAAAAAATGGAGAAAAGAAAAGTTAAGTTTCACAAATACAAAAAGTAAGCAAGCACTGCCTTCTAGAAATCAGCAAACAACATTGTACAGAAGTACCTCAGAAAAGCTATCAGATCCAGACACAAATAATATCCTTAACAAGCTAAAGGAAAATATTATACCTTCCTTTCACTTTCTTCCTGATAGTATCGCTCCTTCGGGATATAAACACCATTCTTCTCACGCGCAGCATACACCTCTGAACACAATCACAACATTAGAAACAATCACCATATGAAATTACAGGGACACTTTACTTAAACCGGCAGCCAAAGTGTCTGACCTGCCTTAAGCCGTTCAATTTCACCATAAAGATCCTTGATAAGAGTTGATTTCATCATTTTTTGATTCACCTACAAATGGTTGAAATACAGCACTTCATCATTTTATGAAACATTAAAAGAAAAAAGGTTTCAACACTTAACAAAGATCACATACGACAGTACCATTGTGCAATAACACAAAATAACAAGACATACAAACATAAAAAGTGAGGATTGTAAACTCGTCCAAACTATAGTCTTCACAGAAGAAAGGACAGATTACTTGTGGAACCAACAGTAATCACTCCTAAAGTTTGTAACAATGTACAAATTCACAAACCAACAGTAATCACTCCTATAGGCATGTAACGGTGTACAAATTTGCCAAGAAGACGAATTCATTATTGTATTATTCCAGTAACAAAAGAGCCTCTGGTTTTCTATGCACCAACAACAAACTTCCCTTAGACAATTGTTGTAGAGTTGACCAAAAAGATCGCAGTTGAGAAACATATCAGATAAAGAAACTATGGGTACCATTATGAAATAACAAACCTCAGGTTTATTTCTTATATTTTTCGCTCTGTGTGCATAATCCAGCGTACTCAAGGTTTCCTCAAGACAGTGCACAGCAGGCGATACTGTAGCTATGATGCAGGTCTTTGTTCTTCCTCCAAGTGAATCCCGAAGTAATCGTGTTAGCTTACTATCCCTGATTTCAAATACGACTCTGTTAATAGAACTGGGAAGAACCACGAGCATAGGCATAGAGATAACAGCAAAACAGTGCTTAGCAAACCTGTATGGGATATGCCCAAGATGTTCCACCAGGGCATTGATTACTCGCCCTAAAGTCAGTAAACTTTTGTTGATTTCTCCGGCTTCCCTTGCACGACCCTAATAATTGTGAGAGCGCAAAATTAAGAACAGTTTAAGCATAAATTTAAAAGAGCAATTCCTATCACTACAAACAAACTTGAACAGTCAAACTGAATTGCACCTCTCGAGCACCCGAACGAGAAATATTTTCTGAGCCGGCCAAATCAACCAGATTCAACTTTCCACATTTGATCAGCTCTTCACCTTCTGGGGTTGCTTCTTTAATGTGTATGGTGATGGAAAAGAGAGAATGTGACCGACTGAAATTGACAAAGTAAAATACCATAAACAAAAGTTGACACTGAATACATGAAGTCAGTCAAAGAAGCATTTGCATTACCTTGACTGCTTGTTCAATAAAGTTTCAGCAGTACGACGTTTAGAAGACCCTCTTTCGAGAAGAGTAAAAATCTCATTCGCACTTGTCACAATTTCCTCCTCCAAACCTCTTACAAGGACTCCACCTTTCCCATCCTCCATCAGAGGCAGCTGCTTTTTCTGCTTATCTTCCAAAGAAACTCTATTAAGTTCCTCTGGAGCAAGAAGATCAGTAATCTCTTCGTTGTAAAGCTCTAAGAAAGTGACTTTCACACTGTACTCTGCATTCTGGCCCTCAAGGGTATCGAAAATCTGCTGGACAGCCCTTGGAATAACTCCAGCCTCGGGAGGCAATTCTCCATTAGGCCCAGTCTGTTTAAATAGACCATGACATCAAAAGATTTAAATGACAAAAACTTGGACAACATCACCACAAAACTCAATACGAAACCGCAACACCATACCTTTGCCCTTTTGAATTCACCCTCCATTGTGTATGTCTTACCGGTACCAGTTTGCCCATACGCAAAAATGGTACAGTTGAAGCCTTCCAAGACTTCGTGCACTATTGGAATCACAGCTTGATCATAAAGATCTCTTTGCTGAGCATTAGGACCAAAAACCTACAAGTAGAAGCCACAAAAATTAAAAATTAAAAATTTGACCATAACCATACCAATTTCAAAATTTCGAAAATCCGAAAAATCAACATTAAAGAAAACAATACTTGGGTTGAAGGAAAAGACCTTATCGAAAGTGAAAACCCTATCGATGTGTTTTCCGGCAATGTTCTGAGACACGGCCACTTCCCTCTGGTACTCATTACAAGTAATAACCTGCGGGGCATTGCTCCGCAACTCATCCTCACTAAACGGCCTAAATCAACAATTTAAGTAACAATTAACAAAATCGCAAAGTAATTAGGGATTTCAAAAATTCAAAAATGTCGCCTTATAACGATTTTGAAAAAGCCTAACCCTAAAGAGAGAAATGAAGTGCGGGAAAGGGTAAATACCTGCAACGGAGAAGGACCTGGACGTTAACGCCCTTCTCTTTCTCGTGGCGGCCGGACATTCTGATGCGGTGGCGAGAAGGCGACGGAGAATCGGTCACACCTATGATGGGCTCACTTGTAGTAGATCCGCTTCCCCAAATGCTTCTCTCTCTCTCTCTCTCTCTCGCTCTCTACTGGTCTGAAATGGGAGGAGAGCGGGATGAGAGTGAGATTTGAAATTTCGAGAGGCGCTCTCTCTCTATAAATATATCTACGGCTCTACTTCAAAGTTCAAAGAATGTTACATCGGACGGTCATGATTGTTCGATTTTAATTTTCAATTTCTGTCGGGGTGAATGGACTGTATTACCCTTGTTTCTTGCCTCAAATAACAGGTTGACCTGTGCCTTTATGTTTTGCGGGCTCTGGTGGCGGCGCAGTTTTCAGGTGGTTTGGGCCGTGTGGGTATGATAGACTGCTAACTTTAGGCCTTTGGGCCGGCCTTTCACATGGCATAAAATTCCAAGTTTTGCAGGAAGAACAGTAACCATGATTTTCTTTTGGTGAAAAAAAAAAAAAACTGTGTTTAGTTTACTAATGAAAAATTACTTTTGGTTTCACTTAAAACAATAGCCTCGAGGCACACGTCTACGTGTGTGACAATTAGTTTTTTTCAATGTTAAATTCAAGACAAATGTTTTCTATTTTTAAATGATTTTTTTGGTGGATCTATTTTTTTAATTACAAATATAAAAATGCAAAAATACAAAATGAAGTAACTACCCACTAATGGCACATTCACCTAACTATAATCGAAATCAAAATGCGAAAATGAATTTTGATAACAGGATACCCCAATGTTTACCTAATATTGGAATAATTAAAATTCTGAAAAAGGGATTTTACATTATAGTATGTTTAACATTGACAAAAACGTGCATTTTAATTTTTTTTTATTAATTAGTATATAAAATACTTATTTTAGGACAATGATATTTTAATAATTATATTAACTTTCATTCAATTTCATGCATATTAGTAAACAACTTATATGAAATTACAGGGTTCTAAAAGACACTAGGTGCTAGTCGGACGGCATGCTAGAGCCTAAACGGGCGCCTAGGCGGACTAGGTGGACTAAACAGATTTAAGTAAATCTATTATATTTTGTGTATATAAGTATCTGTTTATACTTAATATATATATATATATATAATCTCATCATAAACTATAAAGTAGAATGATATATATATATATATATATAAAATGAAGTATTAGAACGTAATGAAAACATTGGGAACAAGGATATAATGTGTGTTCATTTAAGTATACAACAAGTTCCTAATAATTTATTGTAAAAATTAAAATGCAAAATGAAAGTTATCTATTTTCTGTCTAAGTAAGTCGCAACCTAGGCTGGTGCCTAGGCGGGTCTGGGCGAGCTCAGCGGGTGCCTAGGCGGTCTAAGCGGGTGACTCAACAGGTCTAGTCACCCTTTCTTAATTTTCAAACGTCTAAGCATTAATTGGAACGGTGGCCAGCCGCCTATCACCTAGGCAGCACTAGGCTAGGCGCTAGGCGGGAATTTTTAGAACAGTGTGAAATTATTACCATTCATTCTTTGATTCCAGAACATTTTAGTAAACAACTTCAATATGAATTCAATTCTGACTGCTTCCCATTCTAACTCCTCGATTCAATTCCTCTCCTTCTGATTAGAGATTAGTAAACGAGCCATAAGTGATTTTATTCTAAAATTACTATTGTAACTCTAACTAATTAATTTTAATATTTTAGAATTCTACTTAAGAGAGAAGAGCAAATTTTAGCATTTTGAAAGTTTCACCATTTTTGCCTTCTCACTTTATTTATACAGATTATAGATTTAAAAATTTGAGTTGTACAATTATTTTTTATAGAAGCACTCTAAACCAATTGGGATCATAGAATTTGAGTAATTTGCATACTTATTTTTAAATAGGTGATACTAAGGGAGATTGAGTCGTACTCGGCACTTGATCAAGTACAAGGGTGAATGTTAATATAACTAAATGAGCTATAAACTCCTTAATAATTCGTACATATTCACACTTAAATGGGGAATAAGAGTACAACACAAAATGAAAAGATAAATTTTTGCTGATGAATTGGATTGTATGGGTTTTTATCATGTTATTTGGTTCAATATTTTTTTAGTAAGCTCCTTCAACTTGTATATGTCTTCTAGTTGCTGATATAGCAAGAGTCATTTGGCCTCATGACATCCTAGTGTAACTTTTTATTTTTCGAGCCTTAAGTCCCTTGGTTTGTTTTGCATGTAATTTATTATTCTAGTAGATAGGTTGTTGAATTTCTACTCATGCATCCCATGTTCAAAACTTCCCCTCTCCTATATTAATATAATAGTTTCGAACCCTCGTCCTCCTCTTAATAATAATAAATTTAAAAAAAAATTATAAACAACTTTGTACTCTAAGAAATCTTCTTAAAGAGAAAAGAGTTGGAGGATATGAGTTGCCAAGTTTTGAAAGTATTTCAAACTCAGGATGTGTCATTTCAAGTTTCAACCATTATTAATGTCAATGCATGTACACCCTACATTTTGAAGTATACAGTATCTAATTAATACTTAACATCAACCCTAGAATTTGAAGCATTCAACATGATTTGTTCCGAATAAGATATAAATGCACCATGTGCATATTCAAATGAGCCATGCGCAAAATGTAGTAATGAGATGGGGGCTACATTTGGTGTCACTTATTGTTATGTCTCTCAATGAGTTTGTTGTCATTTTTTTGCTATTGCATGTCTATGTGGTAATTTTAACATTTTTTTTTTTGAAGATGCTCTAACATGTTTCTAATGAAAACACTTCCAACAAAAAAACACATTTACGCTTAGACCATCTCTAACCAAACGGTCAAAAGGGATAAAAGGGTCAGAGGGCCAAAAGTAGCCTGAAAACCGTCTCAAACCGAGGGCCAAGCCAAAGGGCTCGTGGACCTCACTGGACAAAAAATGGCCAAAGTGTAAGATCCCACATCGTCTGGGGGAGGGGAGGTGATGTGCCTTATATGTACATGCCCACCTCCTTATAGTGAGACGCGTTTTGTGTGGAAACCCAAGAACAAATTCGTGAGGGCGTGGCCCAAAATGGACAATATCTTACTATGCAGACTGGGATGTGACAATTTGGTATCAAAGCCACTACCTGCCCGGAAGTGTGCTAACGAGGACGTCAAGCCCTAAAGGGGATGGATTGTAAGATCCCACATTGACCGGGGGAGAGAGGGTGATGTGCCTTATATGTACATGCCTACCTCCCTATAGTGAGATGCGTTTAGGGGGGGGAGTCCAAGAACAAAATTGTGAGGGTGTGGCCCAAAGCGGACAATATTTTACTATGCGGACTAGGATGTGAAAATTTGGTATCAGAGTCACTCCCCGGCCAGAAGTGTGCCGACGAGGGCGTTGGGCCCCTAAGGGAGGTGGATTGTAAGATCCCACATCGCCTGGGGGATGAAAGGTGATGTGCCTTATATGTACATGTCCACCTCCCTATAGTGAGACGCGTTTTGGGTGGAAGCCCAAAAACAAATCTGTGAGGGTGTGGCCAAAAGCAGACAATATCTTACTATGCGAACTAGGATGTGACACAAAGAGCCAGTCAGCCCTGGACCGAGCCAAGATTCAAAAAACCAACGGCTAGGTGCTGAAGTCAGCTAGTCGTTATTTTTGAATTTTATTTTACAAAATTTTTAAAATTATTTTTTCCTATAACTTCCTACTCCATGCTTCTTTTGGCCCAAAGATGTGCAACAAGATCCTGTTGTAGGTACTTGTTTGTGGCACGGGAACGTATCATCCTATAGCCTCATGTACTAATTTATAGAAATACTACCAGTTCTTGAATTGAAAGGCAAATTAGGCCCATCATATATTTTTGCACAAGCCCTTCTTGACCTATTTGGATCATCTTGGTTGTCATCGGACTCTCCATCAATATACCCATCTCGCTCATCCTCCACAATCATATTGTGTAATATGATGCAAGACATCATGATGGAGTCCAAATTTTCTCAACTCCACCCTCTTGCCAGTTCCTTAATGATCTTCCACCGTGCTTGTAGAACACCAAAAGCTCTCTCAACATCTTTCCAATATGCCTCTTGGTGTATGGTAAAACAATTTTTGGCTTCATTTTTAGGGTTTGAAATTACTTAGACAAGTGTTGCCCAATTTGGGTAGATGTCATCTACCAAGTAATACCCCATATTGTATTGACAATCGTTGATGTAGTAGTCAAGTTGAGGTGATTTACCTTCCGTCAGGTTATTGAAGAGGGGTGAACGCCCAAGAACTATAATGTCATTTTGGGATCCAGGGACTCCAAAGAAAGCATGATAGATCCATGTGTCAAGTGAGGCAACTGCCTTTAACACAATAGTTGGCTTTCTCGACCTTCCACTAAAGCTTCATTGCCATCTGGTGGGACAGTTCTTCTAATTCCAATGCATGCAGTCTAATGACCCTATCATGCCCGAAAACCCACGGTCTTCGTGAAACGCCCCATCCTGAAATATTTATTTCGGTAAATAATATCGGTGATAGACCCAAACTAAACTTTGTTTTATTTAGCTACTATTAATCACGATTCTTTACTTAAATTCCTTAATTCCTCATAACACTACAATCATATTTTATTACCAAAACATATGTTTAAATTACCAATTAAATCTCCATATTTCTTCTATTTAATCAACTTCTCAACCAAAGGTTAATTCTTGATTATCCAATTATGAGTTAGTCACAAAATTTATAACACAACTCATTTACCAAGAACATAAGGTAAATTTTGTAAATTAATCATCCAATTCCTCTACTTAGACAAATTTCAACGAAAGATTAATCTCGGTTGTTTTAAGGTTGCATCTAACCCCCGTTAGACTACCTACGTACCCTTGAATGGGATCAAGCATTTCGTAGTTCACCATTCCATTTCCTAACTCATTTCTGAAAAATATTTAAGTGACTCACAATCACTAACTAGGTTCAAACAAGTGAATCACACCAAATGTATATTAAATATAGATTCAGAACATCGAAATTAGCGTAAAATGATGACATTGGCTCAATGGTCACGCGTCGCCGCACATGGCAATCGGCCGCCCCGACTTGCCGGAAAATTCAACTATTTAAAAAAAATTACCAAATTTTACAGGCAAGTATATCTCA